CCCCCCCCCCCTCTCTCTCTCTCTCTCTCATGTGCGCGCACTCACTCACTTCGTATCGGTTCCCTATTACTCTGTGCAGTCTTGGAGTTTGGATTCCATAGATTGTCGGCACCATCACAGCATTGCTGCACCAGTGCAAACTGAATAGTAAAAGTTTTAAGTTACTAAAAACGTATGAAATAGAATGGTTGATGACCGTACAAACCTTGCAAGAACCTACAATCCCATCCGTAGGGTTTGCCCAGTTAGGGTTTGGCATGCAACGTCCATAACATCAGATTTCATTCTGCCTATAACTGTTGAATAGGGGTGAGCCCTGATGACATGTTTGTCGCTGACGTCCATGAAGTCAGATTTCCTTTCGTTTGTTTACTCCACTGCGCTTAAATTCTCAAGTTCTCAACTTTTCCTGGTTGATGGCAATCTGATCGAATGGTTCTTGGTGAGTACCCCACTCAGAGTGATCAAACCCCTGTGACAAGCAGCTGCCTTGCAAAGCAGGGGGTCTTAATAAAAAACCATACTCCAGGGTAAACCAGGTTGTTTAAGCGAAATAGGTATGCTACTGGTTAGACGCCTCTCAATCGGTATGTTTGAGGCATCAGTTGGTGAGATCGGTTGGTGAGTTTAGCAAAGACCTATGTTGGAGGTACCGTCTTCCCCCGAATAGAACGTATGGTCATTATCGCTGTATCTAGACTGGAAGTTGCCCCAAATACAGGCATAATGACTGTACAACCTATTTGGGGGAAGCTGGTAGGATCTGGGATTCTAACACAAATGCAGTCATTGTTGTTCATATCGACCACGTTGCAGGCACTCATGTGGGCTACTCTCCTCTAGAGCGAGGCCTCGGTCACGTGTGCTATGTTTCCGATGAGTACCTGCATGAACCTGGGCAGGCGAACGGCCAGATGCTGGCTGTGTACTCAGAAAGGACATAGCATCCAGCAGTAAGGTCTGAAGCCCTTCAACCACCTTTACCTTCGAGGCTCTCGTCCGAGATGGCCAGTTTTGCCTGCTGCTGGCCTACTTCACTGTCACGGGGCAAGGGCCTACCAGGCGTCACCAACCTCTCTGGTGTAGAAGGCCAAGTCTTTCCACGGCCCTGTGCTAACCGGCACCTTCGCACAGGTAGGTGGGCAGGGTGCTGGTGGTTTAAACCACCAGCACACGACCATACATCAGTCGCGGGCCCCTCACCACGACTTTCAGAGGCAGGAAACAGAACTGACACAATTGATGAATTTTATCAATGGCGGCCAAGTCCTGAAAGTTGCGGTGCTACAGTGCGGTGACGACGAGTTGCTTTTTCTGCAAGGCTGGGGCCGTGTACTGGCGGTTTAACTGCTACTGGAACCGTCGTTATATGCTCAGGCAACGAGAGGTATGAAGGTGGACGGACAACCAACGAATGGGTGGTATGTCGCAGCTATGCTATGGCCTTCGCATGGATATAGCCAAGCATGGACATACCTCCCACCACCGGGCTAGAGCATTCAGTAGGTAGTCCTTCTGGACATCTGTTAAAATGGAATGATACAGAGAAGATAAGCATGACCCCTGCACAAGGATGACAAATCAAGCAATTGAAAAAAAAACAAAAAAAAAAACAGAAAAAGGTGGGGGGAGGGGAAAGGGGATAAAAGAAAAGAAGTATTCAGTAGGTAGATTGCAGTGGGATGCTACGTACTAAGCAGGCAGGAGCAGGCTTTGGAGTTCAGGAGATTGGAACTGGTTTGGAACTCAGGAGCTTGGAACTGAGTCCCAATTCCAAGTTCCAAGCTCCTGAGTTCCAAACAGCGGATGGGACCTGCCGAGTGCTGAGATCCTGATCCCCTCTGGGAACACTCTGGGATGTAGAGGGTTAGAGCTTCAAAGGCATTCAGTGCCATTCACACAAGCCATTCCCATTTTGAACTCTTCTGACTAACCATTTCTGTACCAGAGTTTGAACTTTGAACGCCATTCAAGCTTCTGAGAGGGAGAGAGTTTGAACCCGGCTCTGACACCTGAGTTTAAACCACCAGTTCCTCCAAGCCTCTTTTTCCCAACCCGGATTACTGCTGCATGCCAAAGAAAAACGAAGCAATGCAGGCAGAAACTATTTTCTTTGTGCTTGGCACCATCAGCCATCTTGATCGGGTAGGTCAAGTCACTGTCAACGCAGAGGGTTAACTGCTGGTTAGGAACAAAAGAGCTGCAAAAGGGACTGGTGGTTTGAATACAAATAGTTGAGAGAGTGAATTCTCAAGCAACCATTCACAGAGGGTTTGACTCGTGCACATTGATTGACAGGCAGCAAGGTGGTGCCTTTCCCTTCCATTCCCTCTCCCACTTCGCTCCACATACGGACGAAAAGAAAAAGAAAACACTGACACGCACAAAAAGAAAAACCTGTTAAAAATAGCCACTTCGACAAGAATGTCAACAATTGATTCAACGGAAGCATGAAAACGAAATATACACAAGATAAGATGGAGTTTTTTTACTTCAAAGCTGTTGGATGCCAGCCTGGAGAGTCTCATCCGTAGGAATGTGGCGGCAGAAGAAAGCAGCCACTTTAATAACTGTAACATTGGCTGGGGTAACGTGAGAACTTGACAGAAGGATGAGACAAATAAAGGAATACAACTCTATTCCAGCAGTCCTTGAGATTCTCAAAACAACGTCTTGCAAAGTACCAAGTAGATAGCCATGGCCATCAATTTTTTGGATATGACAGTCATGACTGTACGGTAGTCTAGGACCACCAGGGGTCCCCGCCTGTACGGAAGTCCGTTTCAGTCCACGGCGTAAGAATAACCTTGTCGTCCACTATATCGGTGTGAGCCAGAGCAAGTGACTGCCAACCCAGCAAGTACACACACACACACACACACACACACACAACATGGTGCACTTAACACATAACAAACACTTAGCAACAAACAGCAAACAAACAGCAAATAAACAGACAACAAACAACAAGTGAACAAACAGACGGAGGCAAAGACAGCCGTGAAGCATTGAACAAGAATAGACAAAACAGCCAATGATAAGGGAAAAACACACAGACAGCAGCAAGAGACAAGGACGGTGTTAGATGGCGGAGAAAAACCAGCAATAAACAAACAGATGCAAGGAGCCAAAAAGTGGGATGAGATGAAAAGAGAGAGAGTTTGTGAACATGGGCCAGAAAATGGTTACAAAAGAAATAACTTCGTTTTGACTTCTTTTTTTCTCCTTTTTTTTTTGAAGCGGCTGACCAGCCACAAGTATTACAGTTCATGGGCGCTGGACTATTCGGCCATATGAGCTTGGTGGGTGAGGAATAGAAGAAATCTTCGGATCAGCTTGACCGATTTGGTGTCTCTGTGCAAAGTATTTGCCCATTAGAAATTAAATTAAAGAAAAAAAGGTGATCATCCATTGCTTTCCCTTTTTGCCTGCGATTCCAAGATTTCTTCTATTTCTTAGACATCCACTTGCATTCCACACATTAACGGGGTAGTACAACTTCACCCTTTTGCCTCAACAACCAAAGGGAGGAAGGAGGGAGCAAAAATAAGGGGCATGGGAGAGTGGGAGGTATGTCCTGTGACATGACTGCAAAACGGATGTCATTGTGGTGCAAAGAGGTTTGTATGAGTAGAACCTCTCTCTCTCTCTCTCTCTCTCTCTCTCTCTCTCTCTCTCTCTCTCTCTCTCTCTCTCTCTNTCATGCACGACCCGAGTAAAACTCAGGACGAGAGACCCAAACCCAGATAGATAGATAGATAGATAGATAGATAGATAGATATAGATAGAGATAGACCTGTCTCTTATACACATCTATATGTGTATAAGAGACAGCACACACACACACACACACACACACACACACACACGCGCACAGACACACACACACACGCGCGCAGAAACAGATAGGAGGAGGGCAGGCTAAGCCTAGACTCCACTCGTGCTGTGCCCTGAAATATGTAAACATGATGAACCTGGTGGGCATAGAGTTTGTGGTAAGTGAGCACAGAATCTGACATGACATCAGTGCAAGCACGCTGAGATACCAGTGAGCGGGTGGGGAATGATTTGGACATGGAGACTTACCAGCGGGGCCGGCCCGCGGACAACCTTCCCTTGGTTGTTGTACTGAGAACCATGGCATGGGCAGATAAACTTGTTCTCAGCTTTGTTCCACGGCACTACACATCCAAGGTGAGTGCAGACGGCATTGATACCGAAAGTTGCAATCTGCCCCTGGTCCTCCACAACGATGTACGTCGGGTCTCCCTGCACCGGACCAGACCAAAACCGAACCAAAACCGACGGATAATATCAGTTACCGGAGGTGTATGAGCACTAAGAACAGCATCACCGTACCACACCACACCAACTGTTGCCAGCAGAAATGAAGTGGGTAATGGGCATTCACTCGCTCGCTAAACACCAATGTTGTTGGCATGGCAAACAACTGGAGATGTTACATAAGGATAAGGATGTAACTGCAATCTCCCGGGGTGAAGTATGAAGGGGTGGTAGAGCGTGAAGCTCTGATAAATACATCCGTCTACTGAGTGCACACCGACACTCAAAAGGACTAATCAGCAGTAAAGCACCCTGGCCAATCAAAAACCATTTGCTCCGAAAGCTGTGTGTATATGTCGTCATGCTCGCTATATACAACACCACAAAGAAAAGCATGCCACACTGTTCCATCGGACTTTCACCGATTCATTGGGAGTTTGTATGTGTGTGA